TGTCTAAAATTTGCTTCAAAATAATCTGGGAAATTGGTGAGAATAGAAATGAAATATGATTGGATATAACTATTCTACCCACGTTTGTGTGTTTCAAATTTCCAAAGCTGAAAAACATCTCTCTTTCAAATTTCAGAACTCAGAGTAAATCAGCATGATCACAAAAGTTTGATGGTGATCTTGAACCCCAAATCAACTGCCTAAAAGTACGATGAGTTCTTGTCATTTTCCATTATAAATCATAAACAAAAGCACAATTTGGCTTCTATTTTTATTATAGCTTCTGGTTTGGGTGTTTTCACAAGAGGAACTTTTCTCACCCAAATTCAGTTTCAAGGGATCTCTGATCTATTTCTCTGTAAACTCAAGCAACAGTTTGAAAATTAAAGAAAATATACGCAGTACAACAGGAGGGTAGGGGAAGTCTGGCCATGATATTGACAGTCATTTCCTCCTCCTCCCATCACAGACGAGAACAATAAATTTACCCTGATGCAGATAACTTTCTATTTTATGTACATAGATAGGAATTTAAATGAGACACAGCCCTAGTGGCAATGAAGAAGCACAGTTGGATTTTCACTGACAAAAAGAAAAAATTTATTTAATCAAAAAGTCAACAAGTTTCTTACCTTTACTGCTTACTTATTCTTTTTAGGCAATAATTTTCCATATACAACTTCACTCGTTATGTTTGTTCTGTGATTTGTTGGAAATATATAATAATAAGTTTAGAATAATTTTCATCTGTCAATTCATAATTATATCACCTCAAACATTATAATTCCACAATTCGTGGGGCTTATACACAACAGAAATATATTTCTCACAGTTCTGGAGCCTGGAATAAATGCCACATTTTGAATTTTGATAATTTGGGTTGTAGGTAGGCTATATTTTACCTCTGTCTAAAAACCTTCCTTTGAGAATCTTTAATTCATTTATTCATTCAATAAATGTATTGAGTGCAGACAATGCACTAGACATTGTGTTAGCATTTAATAGTAAGTAATAAATAGTTTGTGCTTCTTTGAACTTATGATATAGTTAGAGAGACAATATCCAAACTGACAAAAAATGAATGCACAGTTTTAAATTGTGGTAAAAACTCTGAAAGAAATAATTAGAGTTAAGTGATGTATAGTGAATCCACTGACATTTATTCATTAAAAAATGTGCTTTGGGATTTCTGTTTCCAGTCAAGATTGTGTATCAAGGACCAGACTTTTCTTCCCACCTGGGAAAAAAATTAAAAACTTAATTTAAAAAAGGGAAAAATATATTATGAAAAGATCATCAGACTAAGTAAATTCAGTTACTGTTCATGTCACTCAGCGTTACAACATCATTGCCTGTATTCCTTATGCTGTGCATTACATTCCCATGATATTTATTTTATAACTGGAAATTCATCCCCCTTAATCCCCTTCACCTGTTTCACCTGCCCACCCTGCCGCTTCCCCTCCTGCAACCACCAGTTTGTTCTCTGTATCTGTGGGTCTGTTTCTGTTTTGTTTTGTATTATAACGCAATAAAAAAAATAAGGACAAAATATAAGAAATAGTGGTATTCAAACATCAGACAGCAAGAATTCAGGACAGTGGTTTTTGGGAAAGGGGAAACAAATGATGTGAGCCCCGTAATTACTTCAGCGGGCTGCCTGAGACTCTCCCAGCAGTGGCAGAGGGAGCTGGAACACAAATGGACCCCAGGACTCCCCTCAAGTTGAGAAGTCAGAGCTGAGAGCCTAGAAAGCCAAAGCTGCTCGTGTTCACAGGGCAGAGCCCTGCAGAGATGAGACCTGCGCGCAGAGAGAGCTTGAGAGATCTGTGAATGGCCCTCTTTGAGTCTTCAGGCAGTACTCATCAGTACATGTGTCTAAGGTCTGTGGAAGGACGAACGCCTGGGGCTCACCCAAGGCTGGGAATGCTGTATTCTCTACACCAGCTAGGGCAGAAAATCTCATAGTCTCAGGTAGAAGAGTCATAGGCAATTGTCTTGTACCAATACTCAAAAAAAAAAAAAAAGAAGACGTACAATGAAAGCCACATGGTCCCATCTATATATAT